TATCTCTCCCGAACCTGCAGAGCCCTGGGTCACACCCCTGCTATGCCCTGCTGGGCTTGGCCTCTGGCGTGCGTGAGGATGAGGCTGTCGTCTCCGCACACTGACCGCTGCCCACCTCTCCCTAGGGCTGGAATTCCAGGCCTGCTTTGACTGCAGGCTGGGCACCACCATCCCTCTCCCTGAAAACCCGACAGCAGGGAAGCTGCAGGAACTTTCTGCTTGCGGGACTTTCTCCCCTGAAAAGCACACACTTACCCACAGCTGTGCTACCTGCCCCTCCTATCCACATGTCATCTCCCCCCCACCCCCGTCCCATCCCCCCCCCCCCCCCAGCCCTCCAAGACCCATGGCAAAGCCTCTGGGGCCTGTCTCATGAACCACCTGCGCCTTCTCCATCTCCAGCTTCGGGGCTGATGCCCATCTCCTACAGGCAGTCCTCCTAGATGCCTCCTGGCTATTCCCTACAACCTTAACCACATTTAACAGAAGGACTGCACTGTGGTCATCTCTGAGCACTGGTGGGCACAGAGGGGTGGTCCTACAAGTCTCAGTGCACCAACTTTCTGTCAGGGCCTGTGGCCGGGGGGGCCCCTGAGTCAACACTGCTGAGAGGAACGTGGAGACCTTGAAAGGCCCAGACGGGAGCTTATCTCCTGTAGTATTAATCACCTCATAAAACCTGTGTTTACTCAGTCACTGGCAGAGCCTTCTTCCTGGAGGTAGGAAGCTGTTATTCTTGGAGATACCAGCCAGGGCACCCGAAGGAAAAGGGTGGCCAGGGAGCCAGCACGAGGGTGTGCCCCCGAGGCCAGAGTTCAGGAGAGAGCAGCGGGGGCTGGGGCCACGGAGTCACCAGGGCCAGTTGTGCCAACTTCCCTGGATGTCTGTAATCCAAGCAGCAGACGTGGCTGTGTGGGGTGTTGCGGGTCCCTGTCTGGGCTTCCAGACAGACGGACTGGGGAGGGGGAAGACTTGGCAGGAAAGTCTCAAGATCTCGAAATGAGGGGCCAGAGAGATAATACAGGGGCTAGAACAATAGCACAGTGGGTAGGGCATTTGCCTTGCACGCGGCCAACCCGGCTTCGATTCCCAGCATCCCATATGGTCCCCTGAGCACCGCCAGGAGTCATTCCTGAGTGCATAAGCCAGGAGCAACCTCTGTGCATCACCGGGGGTGTGACCCAAAAAAACAACAAAACAAAACAAAAAACAAACAAAACAAACACACAGAGAGATAATACAGCGGGAGGGCACTTGCCCTAAATGCACCCAAACTAGATGCCATTTTAGGCATCTCATATGCCCACCCCCTCCCCTCATCACCTCTCCCCCCTCCTCCCCCCCCCCCCCCCCCGCCCAACACACACACACACACATACCACCCCAAGTACTGCCAGGAGTAATTCCTGAGCGCAGAGCAGGAGTAACCCCTAAGCACCACTGGGTAGAAACGCAACCACCTCCAGAAAATTTCAAAATGAGACCGGGATTGGGGGTACAACCATCCCAGGAAAGGAGCGGCCAATAACCAGAGCCACAGAGAGAAAGTGAGTCTCAAAGAGAGGGAGGAACAAAGGCAGCTGTTGAGCAGGGAGAAGGGGAAGTTGGAGATGCTGGCTGGGGGGGTGGGGGGGAGAGGGAGAGACACAGCGATGTGGCGAGGAGGGGCCAGAGGGGGGGGGGAGGAGAGCAGTGGGGAGGAAATACCCTGAGACCACCTAGAGCAACAGGCACTGGGTCGGGGGAGCAACAGGGCCCAGAGCCACACGCTCCCACCTCCTCCTCCCAAGGCTTACTGGATGGATTTCTTCTTTTTACCAAAGAGGAAAAACTGATTTAGGAAGAACCAGAGATATTTTCATGCGCTAAGACCATTGATGGGCCCTAAATCAGCGCTGGGAAATGGCCAGGATTATGCTGGGTCACAGCTGGGACGGGGATCTCTGGGCCTGGGGCCGCTCAGAGCGGGCGAGCCTGCGTGGGACTCAAACTCAGCTGAAAACAGTGCACGGAAACCCACTTAGAGTGGAGAGGCAAAGGCCAGAGACTGGGGCTCCCTCCCCAGCCCCTCCCTCAGCCCCAAGCTTGGGAACCTCATCTCAGCCGCCCTGTCCTCAGCATTCCTACCTCTAAAACCCCCTGGAACCTGTATGTCCAGGCCAAGCCCTCTCTTCCGGGAAGCCTTCCTGGACTCCTTCTCCCCTCGCTGACCTCCATGAGGTCCTCAGCCGGGGGGGGGGGGGGGCAGTGCTGCTTTGGGTGTCGGAAGCCCCAGATCAAAGTCCAGCATCACCACCTCACTCCCTGGGGCCTGGCTGTCCTCCCTGCCCAGTGGGGACACAAAGCTCTCCTCCAGGGGGGGTGGCTGCAGAGAGGGGAAGTGAGGGGCCGGGTGTGGGCTGGACACCGGCTCCGCAGATGGATCGGATGACCACAGTGCTCAGCCACTCTCTTTTTTTCCCAGCTGTGCTGATGGGCCTTGGCATTTCTGCACTTTTACCCTAGATTCCCAACGAACCCACTGCAGTGTCTGAGCAGGACTGGCCTGACCTCAGGGCCCCTTTCCTGCCTCTAACAGATCACCGTCCTCCCATCTGTCCCCTCACCCCTTCCCTCCCTTGCAGAGTCCTCAGCGCCCTCCACACGCCAAGCACCAATCCCTTTTGGCAAGGAAGCCAGCTGGGGAGGCAAAGTCCCTCCCAATCCCCCTGGAATGGAAGCAGACTTGGATAGACTCGGGCCCAGCCCCAGCTATGCTGGCCCCAGGCAGTACAGAACTGGACAGGAAACTTCTGCCCTGAGGGTTTCCAGGAGGAGGTGGATTTGGAGCTGGACCTTGAAGCCCAAGGAGGATGTTGAACTTTGGGGACTGTGAAGACAGGATTCCTTTGTGAGGGAGAATTTGGGGGCTATTCTCAGCGCTCGCTGACCCTCAGGGCTCACTCCCAGCACAGTGCTCAGGGATCGAAGCAGAGTTGGCCACATGCCAGGCACATGCCTTTGCCCCTTGTACTGTTTCATTCTTTGCTTAGGGAAAAGCAAGAAGTTACCCCCACAATTCCTCTCCCCACTCACCCACCCCAACACAACTGTCTTCCTGAAAGCTGAGATACTCTTTTTTTTTTTTCTTGTTGGGTCACATCCAGTGATGCTCACGGGTTACTCCTGGCTCTACACTCAGAAATTACTCCTGGCGGTGCTCGGGGGACTATATGGGATTCTGGGGAATCGAATCCGGGTTGGCCGCATGCAGGGCAAGTGCCCTCCCCACTGTACTATTGTGTCGACCCTGAGCTGGGATGTTCTGTCTCTGAGAGGATCAGGTCTCTGCCTCAGACTCACAACCACGCTACTGAGGAGAAGCCTGAGGCCCGGATACAAGTGTCCTTAAGGGGCTTTAGTTCAATCTTCGGGGTGCCCAGGCCTCAGGGGTCCTGAGTGGTGGGTTAAGCTCTGCCCGTGCAGGGGTATCTTAGCAACCGTCAGCCACTGGACAGCTCCGCGTGTCGGCTATTTCCTGGGCCTCTCACAGAACCCTGAGAAGGAATGGCTTGGGCAGTAGGTAGGAACCAGAGATGCCCCCCCTCCCACCCAGGATGGGTGCGGCCTGCAGCATACCCCTCGGACAGCACTCCGTGTTCCCAGGCAAGAGCCTGGCTTCCATGTTTAATGTGTCCACGGGATGATTAAAAAAAAAAAAGTGATTCCCAGAATCACTTTTATTAGGGGGAAAACCAGGAAGTGCCCCAGATTCCTGGTGTTGGCCAAAAAACCAGCAAGGCGGCTGCAATTAAGCACGCGTGTCCCTGTTTGTCCTTCACTGACTTTTATGCAAAAAAAAAAAAGTATTGAGGGGCTGGAGAGATAGTACAGCGGGTAGGGTGCTTGGCTTGCATGTGGCCGACCACAGTTCAGTCCCCAGCACCCCACATGGTCCCTGGAGCCCTCCCAGGAGTGATCCCAGAGCAGAAAGCCAGAGTAAGCTCCGAGCACCACTGGGTGTGTCCACCACCCACCCACCAGAAAAAAAAGAAGAAGACTCTTCAAATGAAAAGAACCTCAATGCTCCTTGGCACTGAAGTCAAAAAGGGGAAGAAGTCACTTTCCAGCTTCTGAGGGCTTCTCCTGCCTGGGTGGGAAAAGGCAGGGTCCAGCGGAATAGCAGGGGAAACATCAACAAGAACCCAGGCTGCAGGACCTCGGTTCATGGCCTCTTGGGGTCACCTCCCTGCTGACGCCTTCCCACGTGGGCAGAGGAGGCAATTCAGTGGCCCTGCCCGGGACACCGCCCTTGGCCCAAGGTCCAACTTAGACCCAGAGGCTGAGCGTATCTCATGCACTGGGGGCCGAGCCTGGAGCTGCCTGGCCGTGAGCTCTGGGATGCCCCAACGCTCAGTGTGACCCTCCAAAAGCCGGAGCCTCTCAACCTGGGCGTTTCCCACATGTGTGCCCTCCGGGAAGGCTAGGCCCTGGCAGCCCCAATTCCACCCCTTCTCCTCCTCCACCACAACACCCACCCTCTCGCCCCCACCCCAGCCTTACTCCTGCGGCGACCCAGGGGTGGCCCCAAGAGTTCTGCCCCCTCCCCCTCGCCCAGGGCCCATCCTTTCCTTCATCCTCATCCCTACAAAAGGCACCAAGGTGGGGCCGGCCCTCGGGGAGGCTGCAGTGCACAGGCCTGGGGCTCCCTGGGGAGCGAGTGCTGGTGTTGCCACTCACCTATGGGCCCCCCAAACACCCCCCCACGGCTCCTCCTCCCTGAGCCTGAGGCCCCCGCACAGCCCGGTAATAGCAGCTGCCTCCCACGGTTGCTATGACAGCGGCGAGAACAAAGTGCCTGACACCAGGAGAGCTGCTGGGGCTGGAGATCCGGATTCGTCACTCCCTGGTGGCATGGGGGGGTGCCCGCCTGAAGGCACAGCTGAAGGGCCCCGGAAAGCCCCACCCCACCCCAGACTGCCTGCCTCAGCGGGGGGGGGGGGGGGGGCACGGACACTCACCCAGCAGCTGGACGCCCCGCGTGAGCCCGTAGACGTCCACCAGGGCCCAGAGCGGGTCGGCCGTGCGGACGCCCGTGAAGAAGAGCATGGCGGCCGAGTCGTTGATGCGGTAGAACACGCGGCCCTTCTTGTCCACCCAGAAGGCGATGATGTTGCCCTCGTTGGCAAACTCCTCGGGCAGCGCCTTGGCCCAGAAGCCGCTCTGCGACACCAGGTCGGGGCAGGCGTACTTGGGCAGCGAGTCCGGGTGGATGCGGGACGGGTCTTTGCTGGTGAAGCCCAGCCGCAGGGCCCCGCTCCAGCAGCACTGCTTCTTGGTGATCTGGGGGGGATGGGGGCAGCCTCAGGCGGAACCCCCACCCCCAGCCAGCCCTCCCCACCCTCAGGGAGCCCCCAGGCCAGGATGGCCCGCAGGGAGTCTGCCTGCAGCACCCACTACTCAGGCTCCGCCTCCTCCCACGGAGTGTTCCCATCACAGAGCTAGGGGTCCCCAAGGCCACCCCCCTGTCCCGTTCCTTCTCTGGTCCCCCAGGAAGGGGAAGACAGGAGCAAGCAAGAGGGGAGAGAAAGAGGAGGGTTGAGGAGGAGCAGAGAGGAGGAGGGGCGTGGGGGGCAGGGCAGGAAGGACAGTGGCTGGGGGAAATGACCCGAGTCCAGGCCACCGGGACACGGGACGGCGGGACGCCCCACCTTCAGCCTGACTTGCTCGTAGATGAGCACCGGGCGGTTACTGAAGGTGATGGCATTGCAGAAGCTGGCCTGCCGCTTGACGGCCTTGTGGCTGAGGTCCATGAGGATCTGGGAGCCCTTGGTGTGCGGATGGAAGAGCAGCGGCGTGGCAGGAAGTCCCCCACCGGACAGCGCTGGTGGGCAGTGCTTCTGCTTGTGATGGCATCGGTGAGAGTTGACGGGGAAGGAGCCCCCGATGGAGTCTGCAAAGGGAAAACCCACAGGGTCAGAGAACATCACCGTCCAGGGGTCGGGCTGGGCTGGGGGAAGGGGGAACTGGACACAAACAAAGGTAGCCCATGTGTCCATCAGCAGCGCCACCTGCCACCAGTGGGCACCATTTTTCTGCTAGTTCCCACCTCACCATCTCCCACTGTTCACATTCTCTCTCTATGTCCCACGTCTGCATGGTCACCTCCGTCACCACCATCCACCGTCATCCTTCACTCATCACTTACCTGTAGTACCACCAATACTAGTATTTACCGTCTACCTTCTATCAGCTTCTGTTGTGCTAAGTTATTTATTATCAATACACCCCTCCCTCCCCGCCCTGGGCTGAAGCCATAGCACAGTGGGTAGGGCGTTTGTCTTGCAAGTGGCCAACATGGCCGACCCAAGTTCAATTCCTCTGCCCCTCTTGGATAGCCCGGCAAGCTACCGAGAGTATCTCGCCTGGCAAGCTCCCCGTGACGTATTCAATATGCCAAATACAGTAACAATTGTCACAATGGAGACGTTACTGGGCCCGCTCGAGCAAATCGATGAACAACGGGAGGACAGTGACAGTGACAGTGACCCCCCCCCCCCAGGGTAGGAGTGGTAGCACAGCGGGTAGGGCGTTTGCCTTGCACGTGGCCGACCAGGGTTCGACTCCTCCATCCCTCTCGGAGATCCCGGCAAGCTACCGAGAGTATCCCATCCGCACGGCAGAGCCTGGGAAGCTCCTCGTGGCGTATTCTTGATATGCCCGAAACAGTAACAAGAAGTCTCACTTCGTGTTCCTGGAGTGAGCAGACGCCACTGGGTTACACTAGCATGCAACGGGGATGAATAGAGATGTTACCGGTGCCCGCAAGAACAAATCGATGAACAACAGGAGGAGAGTGCTACAGTGCTACCTGTCCCCATTCACTGTCACTATCACCACCATTTATTTATTTATTTTGCTTTGGGGTCACACATGGCAATGCTCTCAGGCTCTGTACTCCTGGCTCTGCACTAAGGAATTACTCAGTAATTCGGTACTCAGGGAACCCTATGGGATGCTGGGAATCAAACCCGGGTTGGCCGTGTGCAAGGCAAACGCCCTACCTGCTGTGCTATCACTCCAGCCCCCACCACCGTTTATTTTTAATGGATATTCATGATGGACTTACTGAATATCAACTCCTATCCTTGGGCACTGGAGATATGAAAAAAAAAAAAAACCCTCCTGTTGATCGTCGATTTGCTCGAGCGGGCCCAGTAATGTCTCCATTGGAGACTTTGTTGTTACTGTGTCTGGCATATCGAATACTCTCGGTAGCTTGCCGGGCTCTCCGAGAGGGGCGGAGGAATCGAACTCGGGTCGGCCATGTTGGCCGCTTGTAAGGCGAACGCCCTACCCGCTGTGCTATCGCTCCAGCCCAGAGATATGAAAAGGAGAACATAAAAGGATCCTGACTTCAGGCAGCCAAGAGTGGGGCTTGGGGGTGTGTCTCAAGCAGCACAGCACATAACTTAGATCCCCAAAGCAGTAAGATTCCCCAAGCACCACCAGGTGTCACCCAGGGTCAACACCAGTCCCAGCGAGAGGATGTGGTCTACACAGCAATTTTAAAAAGAAAAGGCTGGGGCCAGAATAATAGTACAGCGGGTAGGGCGCTTGCTTAGTATATGGCCAATCTGGGTTCAATCTCCAGCATCCCAGCATCCAGCATCCAGTCCCCCAAGCCCGCCAGAAATAACTCTTGAGTGCAGAGCCAGGAGTAAGCCCTGAGCACTGCTGGGTGTGGCCCCCAAACAAAACAAACAAAAAACAGCCAAAAGTTCAGGAAGGGAAATAAAACCTGGAGAGAAACTGGGATACAAACAGCAGACGAGGCTAAGGGCGGTCCAGCTCTGCCCTGGCGCTGGACTGACCAGTCTGGGCCATGGGACTGCATGGCCTGGGCTGCTGCTGGACACATAGGACCATGCCCATCTCCTCACTCTCCCTAAGCTGTCCTGGCCGGCACACTGGCCACGCCAGCGACCTCTTCACCAGGCTTCCCCATAGAACTGGGAGCTCAGAGCTGCCCGAAGAGCCCCTGGCCAGGACGGGCATCGCGTTGTACCGCCCAGACACCTCTGACACATGCCAATGTGGCAGCAAGTAGCAGATGGCCCCACACACAGTGCCAGGAGGTCGGGGGTCTGTCACAGCACAAAGGGAGCCAGGCAGACCAGCGACAGCGGAGTCAAATGCACAGGCTCGGCAGTTGGGAGCCAAGATCTTCCACAGGATCTGGGTGACCCAGACGGGGGCAGGTGAGACCCCTCCCTGCCCCAAGGGACCCAGCCCCAGCAGCTGAAAACCTCCAGAACTCAACCACTGCCATGCTCTCCACATACTTGGGCTGAGCTTCACCCATGAGTGAGCCTATTACTGGACCGCACGGCTGCAACTTCATTCCACACATCCAACCCATACCCCAAGAGTACCACACCACATCTGCTGGAGTTCAAAGTAGGGGGAAATCTGAGAGGAAAATATTTTATTTTACAGATATATATGTATTATATATATATATATATATATATATGCACATAAGGGTCAACTTCTAACAACGTTTTCAGTGGTTTTTCATAACAAACTATACAAAACATATTATTTCAGTTCTGCTTTGGTGCAGGGATTGGGGTTCGGATGGAAGCACCCTAAATATGGTGGCGGGAAGGTGTGATGGTGGTGAGACTGTTGTTTGAATATTAAATGTAATGAAATATTGTGAACCACTTTATAAACATTTTTTAAAATTTAAAAAACATTTTTAAAAAGATCTTCAAGGGGCTGAAGTGATAGCACAGCGGGAAGGGCGTTTGCCTTGCATGCGGCCGACCTGGGTTCAATTCCCAGCATCCTATATGGTCCCCTGAGCACCGCCAGGAGTAATTCCTGAGTGCAGAGCCAGGAGTAACCCCGAGCATCGCCAGGTGTGACCCAAAAAGCAATAAATAAATAAATAAATAAACAAACAAAAAGATCTTCAATAGGATCTGTGCCCCATCTACCCACAAGGCAGTTCCACCCTCCCGTCAGAGGAGAGAGACCTGGAGGGTGGGAAAGGAGGGGGCGGGGAAGGAGCAGCCCCACAGGTGACAGGGGCCTTCCAGGGTCTTTCAAATGTCAGTTACTGTCCAGCAGGGAAGGGGAATTTCCAGACAGGAGCTGGAGGAGGGAGGGAGGGACTCAGGGTTTGCATGGGTTTGCATGGGTTTGCATGGCAACCTCACTTTGCATCTTTGTTTCCTCTTTCACTAGGATTTGGATCCAGTGTCCACAGTCCAGGGCTGCCCCCCAGACCCCAAGCTTTGATTCTGAGCCAGAGCCATGACCCCAAGCACAGCCACCCCCACCGCCAAGGACGTCATTGGCTGGAGCTTGGGTGCAGACAGCGCACTCAGAGGTGTGCAAGTGACGACCCTGACCTGGGGTGCCCACACTCCACCCAGGTCCCTGCTTCTGCCATCTCCCTCCTCCACCTCTACCAGCTCTGTCGTCTGCAGAAGGCCGGGGAGCTTCTACGTGACCCCCAGGGGCCAGAGGGGCACGAGAACCCCTTCCTCTGCCTCTGCACATGGGTGGACATGCACCCCCACACTCCCTCCATTCCACTCGGGATCAAGCAAATTGCGAGTAAGGGCAGACACCGCTGGCTGAGGCCACACCTGCACACGTATGCACACACATACATACATACGTGCATGCCCCCAACTCAGCCTTCCTCCTTACTCCCTTTTCCCCAGGACCCAGACATAGTTGGTGGGACAAAGCTGTGGGCAGGGGCTCACCAGAACTGCTCCCAGTGGTCCAGGGTCCCGGGCAGAACCCTGATCTCTTCATCTGGCTCTGGGGAATGCCCCAGTGGGCCCCTGGCATCACCAAGGCAGGTCTACAAGTATCTCTGTGGGGTCGTGGGGTGAGGTCTCCCCCACGGCCTGTCCTCTGGGCTTCCATGAGTGGCAAGGCACAGGCTGGTCAGCCCCGCGACTCGGGCCGCAGCCTCTACTGGGGGGTCCCAATGCAGCTCCAGAGTGACCCCAATGCATCCCTAGCCACTTAGGCAAGGGGCTGAGCCCTCAAGGGCCCAGTGGAAGGAAGCAGTGGAAGCCGGGCAGTATTGTCATCACTGGCTGTGGCCGGCCCGATGCAGGCCCCCAGACATGCCGGACACCAGCCCGGAAGCCTTGCTCTCTGTAAAAGGGGGGCTTTCTTTTGAGTGTGTTACTTTGGGATCTGGGGCCACTCTCCACTCTGCACTGGGGGTCACTCCTAGACCTCAATTGTATTTTTTTAATTTGCTTTAAGGAGGGGCGTCCTAGGCAGTATTGGGGGGTCCTAGGCCTTTCCCCGAGGGACAACTAGGTCAGCGGTCCAGTGGTCAGGCCCGAAGATCTGGTGCTGGGGCCCACCTGGGACAGCCTGGCAGTGCTGGGGCAGAACGTGATGGAACCTGGGCGGGTATGTGCTAAGCATGAACCTGAACCCATCTGCTCCCGGGGATGCCCCAGATCCCCGCCCAAGGCAGGTCCAAGGCATCTCTGTAGGAGCCTCCCGAGGATGCTGCTAGCACAAGGGAAACTGCCTCCCCCACGGCTGCCTCCTCCAGCCACCTGCAGGCCCCTCGGCCTTGGTTTCTTTAACGAAGGCACCAGGACTTACAACTCATTCATAGCTGAGGGCCAGGCAAACGATGTTCCAGCACCCACCCCACCACCACTGTCCACTTCCCAGCACTGGTGTCCCTGGGATCCCCCGCCCCCCACCAGACTACTGCCCTGACAGGCACTTTATTTTTCCCCACAGGGTGCAATAGTACTGTATTTATTTATTTTGATTTTTGTTTAGTTGAATCACTGTGAGATACAGTTACAAAGCTTTCATGTTTGAGTTTCAGTCATACAATGACCGAACACCCATCCCTCCACCAGTGCATTTTCCACTACCAATGTCCCCAAT